AACTCTCAATATTATGTCTTTAGGGATTACAAATTGGGAGATAGCCACAGCCTTTCCTTTGAGAGAACTGTTTCCTCTTCACTACAACTTCATATTTCTGAATCATTCTCTTTCAGAAAACCCTGACTGGAGTGGTCCATCATAGTGCTTCCATTCTTCCGGTAATCTAAAAGCATCCTGCTTTCAACTCCACCTCTTCATGTCACACTGTTTTGTATGAAGTTCCTCACTGTACTTCCACTTAACTCTCTTTTACCATTTCTCCTTGATTGTTCTCTACTTCACACATTATAATTTCAAATAGACAAAGAAAGAGACTTTTCCTTGCTTACTTCTATATACCCAAGCTGAAAAAAATGACCTGGAAATTATTAGGTCTTTATACAGTATTACTGGAGGAATGTATCAGTACAAGAATAGAAATGTGACGAAGACACAGTGAAACTCTTTCACCTAGAATTTTACAAGCACAGTTCACAGGGAACCCTCCTTTCCTCTCAGGTGGATCAGGACAATGCAGTCTCAGAGACACCAGTTTCCGTGCCTCTAAGGAAAAATCTAAATGAATGAAGGTGACCCACAGTAAGAAGCAGAGATGAGATGGAAAAAGATGGTGAGAGTGTATGCCAGATTAAATAGTTGGTTTATACTCAACGAGGCTCCCAGAGGAGCCTTGGTTCCTTCAGAATTTCCTTCAAATCTGAGTTAACTTGACACCCTTCCAATAAATGATGTTTCGGTAAAACCTATAGCTGGGAATCTAATTTCCATGCCAAACACCTCAGGGTAGAAGAGGAAAACAGTTTGACTCACTGAACAACTCCAGATGGAAATACAAACTACTCTAATAAAACATAATATTTTCAATTAGGTAGCACTTTAAATAAAATATAATATTTTCTCCTTAGGTAGCACTTTCCACTTGCCAGCACTTTTACATAGGGTAGGTCACCTGAGATTTGTAATACCTATGTGAGGATTTCAACTTATTTATAGTTCCATCTTCCAAAACACATAGTAGTGATGCTCAGATAAAATGTATTAATATTTTAATGATAATATGCTGTAGGATTTATTGAATGCTTGTAATATGCCAAAACTTGCACCGAGCACATTATGTCAATTATCTCCTTAACAAACATACATTTTATCATCATCCTTATTTAAAATTCAAGCAAGCTGTGGCATAGACAAGTTAATTCCTTTCCTATGCCATACAGCTTGTCATTAAATGAACAGTGAAATTCACAAAGCTAGTCAGAGAGTCGGGACCTCAACTTGTAAATAAATTCCAATAAATCATATGTCTGATATTATTACTGCAAATATCAGAGCATATTCAGATGTGTTTTGCGAGTAATTTTTGAAGAGTCATTTTATTCAACATAATTTATTTATTTAATCTAAATAATTTACTGTCTCTTGTGGATTACTTCTATATTTACATATCTATTTCTGATTTTTTTTCTTACTTGTAGACCCAACTAATTGAATAGAGAGTAAATTAATTAGATTGGAACATAGATTATGTGAAGAGGGGAGTGTCAGATAAAATTGGGAATGACAGCTACCAAAAATAACCAAAATTGGGCCAGTTTGTGAAGAACTTCAAATATCAGGTTAAGCACCAGTTTGTGAAGAACTTAAAATATCAGGCTGTTATCTGTAAGCAAGGGACCAGGGGGACCTCTGGTTGTAACTGTGCACTTGCTCGTGTTTCTCAAGACGTTTGTAGAGTAAGTGCTGTTCACCTTCCCTTGACCTGTTTAACTTGCTTCATACTTTAATGACAGGTAACTCCTTCAAGTATCTTCATTTCTTCGTATCCTTAACAATATTTTGTGGTTTAGTCATTAAGAACATTTTCTCATTTACACAATAATACTCTTTTCTGAATATTAAAAAGACTGAGTTAGAGAATTTTTAAAAATCCATAAGTAACATGCAGGGTGATACAAGGCGAAGAAGCCAATGAACTGCATGTAAAATAATCTCAGAAAGTTTTTGTTTGCCAGAGCTCTAGTGTGCAACTTTTTCTGTCTTTTAAATCAGTGCTTCTAACAGGAGCTGTTTGTTTGTTTGTTATTTACATTTGTTAATATTTGGAGACTTTCTTTTATTTCTTAAACTAGGGAAGATGTGTATCTGGTAGTACTGGTATATGTATCAGTGTCTAGTGGGTAGAGGCTAGGGATAGTCTGATGAGAACAGTATTCCCTATTGTCTATGACCCTTTTGTGGGCTTTCTTCCTGCTCCGTGTCACCACTTCATGGATTTGCTGTGCTTCTGGAATCACTTCTCATAGAAGCAAACTGTGCCCATATTCTCCTTTTGGAGTTTGTTTTTGGAAAACTCAAACTAAGACATCTGTTTAATACTTGTAAATATCCTAAAATGCACAGGACAGCTCCCCTGTTTCCCACCAAAGGACTTTTTAGTTCAAAATGTCAGTGGTTTCTGGGGTAATGGTAACCAGGCTGTAAATAATGGTGGCTTATCAATTATTGTAAATATATGCATATATTAAAATGACTGTTTTAAGTACTTTTTCCAGTTGTCATTGTTGTTATTCTTGTTCAGAAATGCTTTGGCAGATGATGCTCAGCTTAATTTCATAGCTATATACACAAGGGCTATTAGTGTGTGTAATACTGGCATCACGAGGCATGACAGCAGCCATGGAAATTTACCAAGAAGTTTCTTAAGCCCAGGTTTCAGGGCTCACACACAGATCTCTTTGGAGACACCGAGAAAGACAGCAGCAGTTTTTCATATGGTGTTATCATTATTATTTGTACTATTTTCCTATTGCAACAAGAAGATTCTTTGGCAGCAGTCATTTAGGCTTATGCTAAATGTCATCACACTTGTCCTGGCTTCTCCTCTGTCCTACTGACCTTCATGTCGGTGTGTATGAAATAACCATATTTGTCATCTTCTAAAATTTGTTATTTGCTGTGATTCATTTAATTAAGTATTCAATTTTCTGTCTAATGGAGAGGCTGTCACACCTTTCTAGTATTCTCCTCCTCCCCATGCTTACACTGGAGCTCAGCTGGGGCTTTGCTGGATGGTTCCTGTACATGTCTATGGCTTCCACCTAAGCCTCTCCCTTCCTTAGGATTTTTCTCTTGCTGTGTGAATATACACTGCCCATGCACATATGCAAAGACAGAGAAGGCTAGAAATGCTGGGACATTACTGCCCCTGGAACAATCCTCAGTCTGTTAGGAATAGGATTAGTACACACCCCAGCGTTTGCCCCATGGTATGGCATCCTGAAGTGTGATTTAAAATCTCTTCCAGAGGGCCCCACGGGGCAAGTGAGCCCCAGTTGCTGAGTCAGATTGCCTATTGTCTATGACCCTTTTAATGGCTTTCTTCCTTTTTCAGTCACCACTTCACCATTTTGTGGTGCTTCTGCAATCACTTCTCGTATAAGCAAATTGTGCCCATATTCTCCTCCTGGGATTTGCTTTTGGAAAACTCAAATGAAGACATCTGTTTAATATTTGAAAGTTTGTACTTTTTGTCATTAAAAGACCCCTATGTTATTTAACTTCTCAGTCCTACACAACTTGTATTTTTCTTTCAACGTGGCACAGAGACATTTCTTATTTTGGAAAAAGAAAACCTTCAGCTAGTTCCGAAAGTTCCTACTCACTCCAGGGCAACAGGGCAAACAGAGGAAATCACGATTAGAGACTGACATAATTCTCCTGAAAAATTAATGCCCGGCTTTTAAAAATATCATGAGACCTTGTGTCTGGAGAAAAACTTTTTTTTTTATATTTAAAAGAATACTTTAAAACTCCGCCCTCATTATTTCTCAGCAACAGAGCTTAAGCATGGAGAAAGTGAAGTTTAAGGTCATTTGACCTGATTCATTCAAACACTGTGCCTGGAAAGCTACTGTTAAATGAGAGAAGTTAGATCCTCAAACCAAACAAAAACAGTACGTAAATGTCAGCTTGGTTGGCCTTCCCATAAAAAAGAGCAAGACTGCTGTAAAGGAAAGCAAGTCAGAATTGGATGGGGATATCTTCAATGGCTCAAAGGTTTGGTAATGGGATGTGTGAAGTCTTTCTTTTCTGGGTCAGCAGTCTGAATCCAGCCCGGGTCAGTAGAATCCAAAAAAGTCATGATTATTTCACAGCTGATTTATACACTCTTTGGAATTAGCCTGGTCTCACTCCAGGTTTTAGAAGACAGGTGTCTACAGCAAAGCACTCCCCCTCACCCAGAGTAGTGATTGGCCCTGTTCTAAGCTGCCTTGACAGAAAGGCCAAGGATTAAATGAACATTGAATCTGCACTGCACTCACTGCAGCCAGCTTAGGAGCCTCAGTACACTGGCCATACAGGATTGATAGCAAAGTAGCATTTTCTCTTTTCTTGCACTGTGTAGATTTAAGGGGAATTTTAGAATATCAGATATCAGCTTGCTATTTGGCCCTGTCACTTAAAAGATTTTGAAAAGAAAAGGATTTCAAAGGAGTTTATCAAAAATTGCATTTGGCATGGAGCTCTGCGTGACATGCTTCACCATAAGAGTAAATGCTGTGGCCAAGTTATAACCCCTGGATGCATTAAGTTTATCATCACAGCACTCAAAAAGACCACACTGAAACAGTTCTCTTTCAGGCACTTGGGTGAAAGCTGGGCCATGTTTGACTTCCTTCTGGTTCTATGAAAAGTAATAGAATGGTCATTTTCCAACAGTTAGTAAATTAAGAAGTAACAAATGGATTTCAATTTTCATAATTTTACTCTGGGTATCTTTTGAAGTGTGTATTATTAGTTTGTACTAATGCAAAACTACCAGCTGAAACTAATCTCCCTAATGAGATTCATTTGTCCTTTGACAAAGCAATAGTTTCCTCAAGAAAAACTTAACTAATACTGTGGCCAGTACCTTATAATTAATTTTCTTCCCCAATCCTTGCAAGCATGAAAACAAACAGTAAATTTTTCATTTGTTCATCAGTTTCGAACAACTGTTTAGCAGAGATATGCTTGATTAATGGATTTAATTTGTTCCTTTCTTCTATAGTCGGTTTTCATATTATATTGGTTATCAGAGGATGGACAATAATGTGGGCATTCTCTTCGCAGTCTACTCCGTCAGTGTCAGTGCTGGCTTCTAGCTCTGGGTCTGCATCTTTAACCTTTGCCGTCCTGCAGAATCTTTCATCAATCTGTGTTACAGTCACCTTGGGAAGAAAAGGCAGAAGCACTCAGTCAGCACTTACAGGTAGTAAAGTGTGTCATTATTTCTAACAAAATGCTGGCAGCGGTGCACCTTTCATTTCCAACCGAAATATGATTTGTGAGATCAGCAACCCAACTGTTAAAAGAGAAAAATGGAAGGAACCGGTCTGGTCACTACCAGGCCCTCTATAAAAACCAATACAAAATACCTAATGCTTTCTCACATGCTGAGCGCTTTAAAATGACTGGGGCTGGTTTTGAAAATTAAATATTATTGTCAGATAATGAAAGTACCTATGTAGAGGTCAAATAACATCATAAAAATATAATTGCAGTTTTCATAATACTGACCATTTCGTAGTAGGGGCACATATCTCCATGGTTCAAATTTGTAGTTCACTTGAATTTTCAATGTGACATATAGAGTCATAAACTCTGGCTAGAGGGGTTTTTATTCTTTTTTTTTAAGTCTAAGTGTAACATAGACTTTGTAGACAAATGGAAATGCTTAAGACTTTTTAAGAGATGCCTCTTTTAGGACATCTTTGAGTCCCACATAAAATGTAAAACTAAAACATATGTTTACATATTTTGTGCATAAAATGTACAATTTTTGCTACAGGAGTAACGTTTTTAGTATTTAAATACAATGATCTAGAGTACAAAGTTTAAAATACAGGAAATGTATTCTAAATACATACTATTAGTTTAAAAAAATTTCAATAGTTTATTTTGGATACTGAGTTCCATGCTTTAAAAAAATAACCTTTCTTTCTACATAATTGAGAATCTTTTTAAAATAGTTAAAATTGATTTTATTATTTGTCTTAACATACTTGTCAGTAATATTCAATATTTCTGTTACAGTACTATATGCAAAAACTTGAAATTAATAATTCATTGAATATCTTTGGAGCAATACATTTAAAAATGATTTTTTGGCATTTATTCCGGAAAATCTTTTTTTTACCTTTGGAAGATAAAAATGCCAACCAAAATAATATGCCTGATATGCAAGAAAACTTTCACAATTTATATGTAACTGTGATAGAATTGAACTGAGGTACAGGCGAGATTTAGGTTGTACTATCAGCTTTGTCATTTAGCGTTTTTGAGTTATTAAATTAGTCATTCACTTTTTGTGAGAATAATATCATTTACATAAACCTCTTATTTATGCAAATGTGAGGCTCTGTTACATCACTTCACAATGGATCAACAATTTCAGTGGCTCCACACTGTGGTCTCATTTTATCAGTGTTCCTTATTTTGGCAGGCAGTGTTCTCAGCAATCAAACCATTCAGCCACCTATCCCACCCATACATTTCATATGTACAATATACATTCCATATGTACATTTCATATGTGCAATATGAATATGAAACCACCCGGTCATCCTGAAATTCTTAGTAGTCTCTCTACTCCTTGTGTATGGTTATAGCTCTGTCTCTGTAGTGTACCTCTTCCTGGCTAGTGCCCACTCACCCTCCCTCCCTACACCTCTGCTCTATAAACTTAAACCTATCTTTAGAGCTCAGGTAAGTTTCCCCTTCTTCCTGAAGTCTTTATAAGTTATCCTTGTTGGTATTAATTTTTTCCTTCTTTGTGGTCTCACAGTACACTGCTTTCCATTCTTCTAATGTACAAATCATAGTAGAATTTGAAAAGTAGTTGGGGCATACATGTCTGTCTCTACCAGTGATATCTAGAGTACATGTTTTCCTTTTTTTTTTTCTTTTTTTATTTTTTGAGACAGTCCCACTCTGTCACTCAGGCTGAAGTGCAGTAGCGTGATCTCTGCTCATTGCAGCCTTGACCTCCTGGACTCAAGGGATTCTTCTACCTCTCAGCTTCCTGAGTAGAGTAGCTGGGACTATATGCATGTGACATCACACTTCGCTAATTTTTTGTATTTTTGCAGAGATGGGGTTTCACCATATTGCCCAAGCTGGTCTTGAACTCCTGAGTTCAAGCAATCTGCCTGCCTTGGCCTGCCAAAGTGCTGAGATTACATGTGTGAACCACCTTGCCTGGCCTAGACTACATAGTTTCTTTGCCCCGTCCCATAAGCAGAACAAAAATGCCTGGACCAAAGTAGAGCTCACTGAAAATATACTGAGCGGATAGATGAATAATCTGATCATAAATGTCAAATAATATTTGTTGTTTTTGAATCACAAAAATCTTTTGCCAGGTATTAATATGAAAACTACAATGAATGGCATTCCACATAAAACATGAGGCAGCTCACTTAAGAAGTTGGTTCACAATATCTTACCCATTATATGCAATTTAATTTGTTTAATTAGTGGAACTAAGATAAATGTTTTCTTAGGGTATCTACATTTAAATATAAAAATTCTTCCAGAACGATAATTTATTTAAGGAAAACACCATATATAAACACACTTTCTCTTATTTTATATTTTCACAATATATATTTCACAATATTTAAAGAAGTAGATTCATGAAGAAAAATGCTACATAGCTTCATAAATTAGCCTACAATGTTGACTTTCTTAAATTATTTCATTTCATGAGCATTCTTATTCTTATACCTCAGGTAAATGCTGCCAGGATCCATCAATACATATTTTGAAAATTGTAAAGCTTTGTTCATGCTGCTCAAATAAAATAGTGAAAAACAAAAGAAAAAACTCAACAAAGCAAATTTTATGTTAGATTATACTTCAGCTGTTGCTACAGTTAAGAACTTTGATAGTGGATAAGAAAAGCAACTTTAGAGAAAGCTATTAGTAATTGGAGAAAGTTTTTAATAAAAATTATTTGATTTAAATCACAGGCCTAGGAAACTTTTCCCACTGTGGGTCTGTGCACATATAACGGGAGACATCTCAGGTCATTGTTAAAATCTCAAGGATTGTCCTTTAGTGCTGAGCAGTTAATAGAAACAAAAGATGTCACAAAAATAAAGTCCAAATATGCCTGACTCGAGAAAACCTGAGGCTTACCTTTGAAATCTCCTCTCTCTCTGTTATATCTGCCTAGGCACCAACATTATTCAGACAAGGCTTCTATTCTCCATTAGTCAGAGGAACGTCTAACGCAGCTTCAGCCACCCATATTTACTTTGTCCGGGAGTTACTGCTGACCACCTGCCAGCATTTCATCCTTTTCTGTAGCCCTCTTCCACTTTACACAAAAAGATTGCTCCTTTCATTATTTAAAGTTGTGTTTACTCAGCCTTAAAGAAAACTGTAGGAACAGTACAATATGCAGTTTATATTAGGATCTGCTAGGCCAATTTGATTTGGAATCAATCCATACTGCACAATGTTCCTGGTGTCCTCTGACACTGACACTCACTGTTCATCCTTCTTGGACAGGTCCTTTCAACACAAGTAGACACAGATCTGCCACAGCAATGAAGACCGTGAGAGCATGAACTAGGATAAAATGAAATTGGATGAAAGGATATTCCAAAGGCAAATAAAATGAAGTTCTGCTTCCAATATAGACAATCACTTATGTTAAAATATAACACACTTGATTCATTAAAGCCACAACTTTTTAAACATAATTGGTTTATAGGCATGACTTACACTGTCTAGAGTAACAAGATCTGGCAAATAGTAACTTTTTCATATTAGGGGCTAAACATAATTTTTCTTAATTTTTATTTTATTCTCTAAACAAAATTATTATAATTATTTAGTCAAAGTTGAGTTCCTTAAAAGTTAAAACCATTGTTCCCATAAAAATATAAAATAAGCGTATGTCAGTTTTGAACTCTAATTAGTGTGGGAACCAGAAAACGTTTAAAATCAGTAAAATAAAGCTTTGAGTTACAGAGATTTACATTCCCTACCACAAGGGTTTCTAACCCCTGGACCATGGACTGCACAGCAGAAGGTGAACAGAGGGTGAATGAGTGAAGCTTCATCTGTATTTACAGCCACTTCCCATGACTCATATTAACACCTGAGCTCTGCCTCCTGTCAGATCAGCAGTGGCATTTGATTCTCATAGGAGCACAACCCTGTGGTGAACTGCACATGGAAGGGAGCTAGGTTGTGCACAGCTTATGAAAATCTAATGCCTGATGATCTGTCTCTGTCTCCCATCACCCCCAGATGGGACCTTCTGGTTATAGAAAAACAAGCTCAGGGCTCCCACTAATTCTACAATATGGTGAGTTGTATAATTGTTTCATTATATATTACAATGTAATAATAGAAATAAAGTACACAATAAATTTAACTTGCTTGAATCATCCCTAAACCACCAACCCTGCCCCCTGTCTCTGGGAACATTTTCTTCCACAAAACTGGTGACTGGTGCCAAAAAGACTGGGGACTGCTGCTGTATCCGCTAACATTTATTTGCATCAGCATTGATTTAGAATCATTTCATTGCTATGACCATGAAGAATTTGCATAACTCTCAGTTTTCTGCAAGTTAACTTCTATTAATAGCTTAGTCAAAGACATTAAAAGGTACACACCCCAATGGCAACAGATGATCCCTGGAGTCTCCTAGGGAATAGCTGGCATGTCACTGAAAGAAAATCCAAAAGTCTCTTTTGCCCATGTATAAAATTTTCTGTTTCTCCTATTTGTATTTTCAAAAATTTCCCCAATTGTTTTTATATATTAAATTAATCACAGTGCTATGTTCACATTTATATACAAATATGAGACTATCTCAATTTCTTTTTCTTGGGAGGAAAAGTTTTCTGTTTTTTCTGTAAGCACATTTTATCCTTATAGCTTCCTTTTCTTGTTATTCCATGCAGGAGTATTGCAATATCTTAGACATGCACATATTCCTTTAAGAAAATGTAAAGCATTAAAAACAACAACAACAACAAAAACAAATGGAAATCACTGAAACTCAGAAATTAATCATATGTTGAGACTTCCATGAAGAACAACTTTGAATGGAATGGCATTAATTCATTCTCAATCTCTAGAGAGAGAGAGAGGCATAGTTGCAAAGACAGAGATGAAGGATGCTGCAGGGAGAAAAAAATTATTTAAA